AAATATTCATGTATACTAATTTTAAATATAATTTATATATTCAAACATGTTGCTTATTTATATATATGATTTATTATAAATTTTATTAATATATAATAAATATTTAACATGTAAAATATATATACTAAAATATTAATAAATTTAAATAAAACTTTACTTTATTTCTTTAAGTAATCTTTTGTTTCAAAATTTTGTAGATAAAAAAATAATTAATAAACTATAGATTATACTAAAGATAATTATCTGAAATTTTAATAGAATATACTTTCAGTTAAAAATCAGATCGAACCGACCAGTTAGACCGGGAACCGGTGGTCCAGCCGGTCTGAATCTTAAGTTAGATCAGTTATACAGTTGACTCGTTTCAAATTGGATTGAACCGGTCAATTTTTTGGTTCAACCGGTGGGTCAAACCAGTTCAACCACACTTTTTTTTTAAATTTTTTTTTACTTTTTTAAGGAACCATGAACCACGAAAATAATAATGAAAATTGAATCTCTTAATGGAAGAGCAAAGAGTCTTATTAAATATAACAATGACTACTTGTTCAATGTATTTGTTTGTAATGTAGTAACCCAATTTCATCCGGAAAATGTCAATTTTGTTTAAAAAAATAGCAAAAAAAGGTATATACAATAAACAATAAAAAAGACAAAATATGGAAGTCAAATGTAACACCTCATTTTTTATATTTTTATGGAGGGTAATTTAGTAATTTTCAAACTGGAACGGGTCGTTTCAACCTTCTAAAAAGACCTAAAATTTCTAGTCCGGAACGGGCCGTTCCTAAACTGTAACGGGTCGTTCCCAAACTAGAACGGGTCGTTCAATCTAACAAAAGAGCTAAAATTTCTAGCCCGGAACAAGCCGTTCCTAAACTAGAACGGGACATTCCCAAACTGGAACGGATCGTTCCAGCCTTCAAAAAAGACCTATAATTTTTTCCCAGAACGAGCCGTTCCCAAACTACCAAAATACCTATAAATTCTATCTCAGAACGGGCCGTTCCGAAAATGGTCGTTGTGAGTAAAGATGCAACCCTCTGAAAGTCTATAAATAGCGGCCCTTGGTCTTCCCAAAGGGCACTCACACACACGCATCTCCACCTTGGACCAGAGGGAACCCAAAGGAAGAAACCAGCAAGTTACCACTTCTGTAGCGAAGAATTGTAAGTATATTAAACTCACTTATTTTTATTTTTTATTTTTTATATTAGTAATATCTATCATTAGTCCTTATTTAAATTTAAAATATGATTAAATATCAAAATATAGTGTTACAATATTTAATGTAAATATATGAAATTATTGTATCTAAAATTTTATTAGAGGAATGGTTAATTAGATGTGACATCTTTTTAACCTTTTAATTTAAAGTACAAGTTGTGATAGCTTATCTTTAAATTTTTTCTCCAAAACAAAAATGTCTAACCAAGAAATTTTTTAACATCATAATATCTATAGCAATAATTATAATTAAAATTTTATTGAATTGACTTTGGTGTACACCTTAGTCAATTTTGTATTTTTAAGTTAAATGAACTGAGACAGTTCAAGAATCTTATATTTAACAAAAATAAAATTTAATTTAAAAATATCAACACACAAATATTTTTTACAAAGAACTACGTGACTCTGATTCTTCATTACACATGGAGATACTTAGGAACAAGAAATAAATATTGTTGAGCCAAAAAATAAAAAATATATTATCTTTCTTTTTATATAACAATAATAATTTAGTTAAATAAAATATATTTGATCATTTTAGTGAGATAAATATTTTATAAATTATAAATAATTATTTTAATTAATGAAAGGTAATCGTCTTAGGACGAACGTTGTGAGCTGCTAATACCTTCCTCACACGTAATCGACTCCCGAACTCAAAAATTTAGTTTTCGTAGACTGTTTTATACTTTATGATTTTTCCAACGTTTTTCCGTAAAAAATAACATTGGTGGCGATCTCCTATTTTTCAATTTATTTTTCGCCGTCCCGTCGCGATCTCGGTTGCGACATGTAATATATACAACTTAAATAACTTTTATAATATATTATTAATTTTAAATTATATATTTAATAATATAATGTCTATGTAGATATTACATATATTATTTTGTGATATAAATTATAAACATATTATATATGTACATATTATTTATATTTTTAATTTGTATTAATATATAGTTTAACATGTAATTTTTTTTATGTATTTTTTTACAAAATAAAACAAAAAATAATTTTAAATAAGATAGAAAAATTAAAATTTAAAATAAGATATGAATTTATTAAAATTTATAAGTATAAAATATATTTAACATAAATATTTTAAAAAAATAATAATAAAAATCGAGTCATGCGGTTCAACTAGTGACCCACCGGTTCAACCTTTAACTCACTGATCCAGTACCTTAACTGATTTAATGACCGGTCCAATTTTTAAAACTATGTATATTTACATTAATAATATATTTAAAAATAGTTATTATAAATTGTTGAATTAATAATGAGTGAGAAGAGTGTAAAAAGAATGAGAATATGGTGCATACGGAGGTATCCTCTTGAGAGGGTTCATTCACAGTAACATTTGAAGGGCAATAAAAACTAAAAAGTGATGACACCTCGGCTCAACAAAACAAATTGATACCTCGATATAACATAATTTCTGCAGTATCATAAACTTAACCATTAAAAATTAATCGGTATCGGTAGAACCTAGTTTTTATTGGTTAAAAATTATTTTAATATAAGTAAAAATTAAATTTAAAATAAATAATAGTCATCTTAAAGAGAAATTAATACATTGTTAGCTTTTGTCAAAGAGAGAAGAAAAAATTTGAAAGGAGGAAACTGTAAACTTTTTAAATTTTATTTGAAAGAAAATAAGACTTTTATTTTTATAGATTCAAAATATTCTTTTTTATCCCAAATTAGTATAACTAGAGGAAAAATAAATTTTTTCTTCTTATTTTTATTTTAAAAAATTGCATTCATCCTATTAGACATATTTAAATATTGTATATCTTCCCTCTAATTTTAAAAAATCGCTCATTTCATTTAGAACAATGTCATTACTTAAATTAATGAAAGGAGAAAAATTAAAATTAATTCATATTCTATCAATCGCATATACATTTATTATTCATTTTTTAACTACATACAATGTTATAACTTTTTAATGAAAATTTTCATTGTTTCAATTTTAAAAATAATAACTTATCAATTCATTCTTTAGAATTGTTCCTTCAAGTTGATATATTTTTTTAATCACAAAATGTATGATATTTAAGATATAATTTAAGACATTGAATTTAACGCATTGATATGTCAAGACAATACACATTTACAAATTTTGTTATTTTTTATTTAACTTTAATTTTTCATAATAAAATATATAATAAAAGTTGAGTTAAATAAATCCCGTGGATTTCAAGCCTAAAAATTAGTTGACCAACATAACCTAAATGACCTGTCGAGTATAGCAAAATTGACATAAATTTTTTTGAATCACTTTTTTTGAAGTAAAAATTGTCAGATTATCGAATTATTCCATTAAGATGAAACATGTTAGATATATTTATTTTTTACACTTTCATAAATATAATTCAGTTCAGATTAGTTCGATTTCCAAACAATTTAGTTCAATTTTTTAAAAATGGTTCATTTAATTTTTTTACAATAGTTTAATTTTTAATAGTGCAATTCAAATTTTTTATATGGTTATCAAATTTCTTAAAGGTTCGTGAATTTGATTTGTACATTAAAAATTTTTAATTTAGCATTTAAAGTCGTTGAAATTTGTTGTAAATTATAATATACTGGGTGGAGTAAGCCTACTAAAACTTACTATTGGAGTAAGTGAATCTCTTTCATATAGATGAAGAATTCACTTACTTCAAGATTAAATTTATCTATACTTGCTCCATTGAATAATTTGTATTTTACATCAAATTCTAACGATTAAACCGTTAAATTAAAAATTATTCATGCATATATCAAGTTTGTAATTTAAAAAAAAAATTATAAATTATTTGATACCTCATTTCATCAAATTCAAATTGACAGACAATCATACAAATATTTTATACGTTGGTTTAAATCAATGAAATAAAGTACCAAATAGTTTTAAATTTTTTAAAAAATTATAGACTTCATCCTTGCATTAGATTTTTTTTTAATTTAATGATTGAATCATTAAAATTTAATGTAAAATACAAGTTATTGAATGGAGTAAGTGTTGGTAGACTTATTTTTAAAATAAGTAGATTTTTTTCTCATATATATACACACACACACGATAAGAGGTCCACTTATTCAAATAATAAATCTACTTAAATTTATTTTACTTAATAACTCGTGTTCTACTCCGCTCAACACATTCACTTTTATTGAATTCTTTCATATTTTAATAAATAATTTGATAAGTCAATGATTTTTTTTTAAGGTTAGATTTATTTTTTATTTTTTTACTCAATTTTGATTCATCGCTTGTTTAAATTTGATTAGGTTAAAACTTAAAATGTTTAAAATGGGATTAGATAAACTCAATTTTGACTAATAAATTATACATAATTTTACTATGATACACTAATATTAATATTAGTCTTATTTTTAGATAATTTATAAAATGTATGAGATATAAAATATAATTAGTGTGTAGTTACTTTCATAAATTGGTGTGTAACTTTTTATACACATTTTTTTTTTGGAGAAGGAGGAGTTTTGTTATATTAAAAACAATGTCACATGCCACAAAAATCAACGAGGACTTAATATAAATATTTATTATAAAAAAGGTATGGAATGATATTTAAGGTTACTAACTTAGACCAAACAGAAAAATTATATGTGTTTAAATATCTTATATTATAAAATTTTTAAAAAAATATATTCTCGTGTCTCATGCGGCAAACACTGGCTAATTATCATTGTGTTGGCATTTGGTTTCATGTTTATGGGGCGTCGCAATGCCTGACATTAGTTGGTTTTCAGTTATGCAGAAACCAAACATCCACCATATCATGTCCATCATATTCTCCATTTGTAAGGATTTTCAAATGCAATGGAGGGGTTATCACAAAATTTTTAGCATCTCATATCTTATTTAATTAATATTTTTTTCGATTTCATAATCTTTATATTCAAGTTTTTAACAAATAAAAAAATAATATTTAAAAGAATGCGCTATGCCATATTGTTTGTAAGGAAATATTAGCATGTAAAGCTTTTAGAGCATCTACAATGGGATTGTGCCACATTACTGTCAAATCAGCTCTGACTCACTTTATGGGTTGCTTAAATTTTAACAAAGTTGCTTCTACAAGCAATTCACAAGCAACTCTGCTAAAATTTAAGGAACTCATAAAATGAGTCAAAACTAATTTGGCAGTGATATGACATAAGGGGTTACTTATAAGCAACCCCATTAGAGATGCTCTTATACTCGGAAGACATAAGTAGTGGTTTTCTGGACCTAAAAAAAAAGCTAAGTTCCTTTCAAAGAGAAATAATATGAACTAACCTCAAATAAATCCAATCGAACACAAAATAGGATTTGGCTGGTTAAAGGAAGTTTTATATAAGAGAATAAAGTATAATAATAATTATTGAATAAAAAATTAATAATAAATATTATAATTAACTTTATCACAATTTTTAATTATTGATTTTTTAATATTCTTTAAAGTACATACTTCATTATAAAGGCAACAATTCTCATGAAATAATTTGTTTATATATAATAAAGATGTTGTCGCTATATATTAAAATTAATTAATTAATTACCTTAAAGACGATAGATAAGTCAAATTTGATATTTATTCTATATTTATAGTTTATTAATGAAATTTTTTTTGTATTATTAAAATTAAATTATGCGATAAATTTGAATAAGAATATATTTTATATTATTAATTATAATTATAATATATATATATATATATATATATTAATTTTAATGCTTAAATTTTCTAGTAAATTGGCTCAATTTATGATTTTCTTATTTTATTTAATTTTATAAAAAAAATATAAGTTTTGGACAAATAAGCTAGTAGATTTTGTGCTTATAAATTGTTAGACTTGTTCTTTTTGGACCACTTTTGTTGGGGCATAACTTGTGGGCCGAATCATTATTGACAATTTGTACACAAATTTAAAATTTTGCTTAAAATATTTGAGTTCAACTCTATTCGATCAAATATTTGTTAGTTTGTTTTTTCATGATTAATTTTACTGAAAAAATAGTATTTTAACATATATAATTAAAATATACAATAAATTACATATAAATAATATTTTATTTAAATATATAACTTATATATACTGTAAAAGACATATAAAACTATAATTTTTTAAAATATTATAATTTAATTTATAAATAATATAATAATAAAATTTAAATTAACTAAAAATTAAAAAAAGACTCTAAAATTATCAAAGAAAAACGCCCAACGATCTCTCGTTAGTTTTGTTAACAAAAAAGTACCTAAAAATATTATCTCGTGTGATAACAGTTATAGACAAGTTTTATAAAAAAAATTACTCAATTGAAAAGTAAAGAAGGAAAAAAAAAATAGTGAGAAATATTAATTTAACGTTGTCACGTGATGTAAAAAAATGTTTGTGCTGTGAACAACCAATCAATCTTGCTTGATTTACGTTTTGGAGGTGTTTTGTTGTGTTGTGTTGTGTTGTGTTGTGTGTCGTGTTCCGCCACCACCGACTCATACTCCTCTCATTCGGCCATTCCCAATTCTCATTCAAACCCTTTCTCTGTTTTTTATGGAATCGCCTTCATAGCTCATCCCTTCAAAACAAAATGCATTCTTTCAGAGACAAAGTTTCGCAGAAACTCTCCCATCTCTTACCCAATTCTTCTTCTCCCTCGCCCCCACCCCCGCCCCAGGTATTTATTTATTTATTTCTTTTATGATCTGCGTTTGTCTCTGTTATTCCCAATTATTTAAAAATCCGAGCTTGATATGGTGGGCACTGTAATTCTATCATTTCACACGAGCTTTGATCACCTTTGCCCTAAATGTTCGATCTGATCCGCGTGCAAAATTCTGAATCTGGGCTTCAATGGCTTCATTATTTTGCATCATGGGTTTGATTTTTCTAAATGCACCAGAGGAATACCCTAATCAAATGTCACTGCTTTATGCTCCCATTAGAAACGCCCTTTATCATAGGAACCTTGTGCTAATTAGTTCTAATTATTCCAAGTGAAAAAATAATCACTTTTTTACTTTCTTTTGTCTTGATATGAGGTTTTTATTTGCGCAGGATAGTCCCTATTCTAAAGAGGGTAAACCTTTGTCTTCATATTTATCTTACATTATCCCTTCAATCAGCTCTGATGGATCAAAAACAAGCAAGAAGCAACATGATCATAAACCAATTCGAACAGCTTCGGGGGGATATAATTATGAGAATTTTGAGTATCAGGATGTTCCATCAGATAACTATGTTGATGGTAATCCCATGTGCAATAGCATGGATTTATCCAAAGATGATAACATAAATGAAGATCATACCTCTAGAAGGAGCAGCAGCAGTTCTGAGGTTTTTGAAGAAGCTAAAGAGCAGCAAACACCAAATACTTCAAGGAGGTCTCGACTCAATCTTGCTGATGAGTCCACTTTTATATCTCCTGAATTGTATGAGTTCTTGGAAACATGCCTCCCTAATATAGTGAAAGGACGCCAATGGGTCTTACTTTATAGGTAACTTTGCTCTGCAGGTTTTGGTTTATCCATCGAACATTATTTGAAGTATTGATTCAATATTTGTTCTTTAAATTAAGGGCAGTACGTTAAAACACGGCGTATCACTTCGTACACTTATTCGCAAGAGTGCTGAGCTTTCTTGTCCTGGTTTGCTGGTATGTCAACCTTTCAGAACTCTTCTTCTGTTATGGTGTACATATGATATCTACTAGTTGCAGATCAAGGTGTAACTCTCTTGCTGACAATGGATTATTGTCTATTTTTCAAAATTGTTAGATTGTGGGAGATATGCAAGGTGCTGTGTTTGGTGGGCTGCTAGACTGTCCCTTGAAACCTACAGCAAAGCGAAAATATCAAGTATGCCAACTCTCTTTTTTTCATGGATAATGTTTCTTTATGAAGGCACTTCTTCATCTGGAAGTATGATTTCATTTTCTCAACTTTGGTGCTAGGGAACAAACCAAACTTTTGTCTTTACAACTGTTTATGGTCAGCCAAGGCTGTTTCTACCTACTGGTAAGGATTCTCATTGTTTAAATTCATAATTTTTAGTAGGAAGATGTTGGAACCAAGGAAAATGACATTAATTGATGCATTGTCAGACATGTGAACAAGTTCATAGCAGCAAGAGTGACATTTACATGTGTTTTAGGGTAAATAAATCTTTTATTAATTTTGGTATAACAGTTATCAATATTCAGTAGGGCCTGGATTTGTATGATGTGGAAGCATGTAAGCTTGCCTTAAGAATAATCATTTTGGAGTATGATATTTTGATTAATCCTATTGAATGACTAGCCCATTATCACCTCTTGCATGTCCTCTTCTAGTTTAAGTAGAAATTGAGAATGTTTTGGGATAAACCTGTGGTAGTCATTTAGTCTCAATTTTTAAAACGTATTGCAAATATTGCTATTCGCTGTACTTTGCATCATTGCAGAATTAGTACTTTACAAGTATGGGCTCTTCACTGATAATCATATGCTTTAGGATCATATAAACCTTTTGAATTGTTTCTCTTAAAAAAGGCATTTTCCCATGAGCATTGAGCATGTCAATTCGTTTTAATACTTTGATTTTTGACCATTGTACTTATAGGGATTGACAGTTTACATATAGGAGAGAAGGTAAGGAAAGGAAGAAAGAATATTAATTTATACCTACACCTACCAGTATAAATGTTGGATCTTTTAGTATCTGAGGTTTTGACAATTGATGAAGTATGGTAATTGGGGGAGTGGGGTGGGAAATACAACTATTTGGAATCATTACTAATTTCTTAATTAGAAACAACTAAATTATCTTTATTCAGGATGCAAGCTCTCAACTTTCATAGTTCTATTTTATGTATGAGAAGTTTCTTTTTTTCCTTTTGAGTTCCTCTCAATTTGTGGTGTTCTAATTGTATATATTTGTTTGTAGGTCTCAACCGATACTACTACATGTGTTTGACCGACATACTTGCACTTGGTGGCGGTGGTAATTATGCTTTATGCTTAGAAGAAGATTTGTAAGTATTTAATAATGCTGCTTGGTTTTGTTCCAGTACATTTTAATCGTAATTGAAGTTCCACTAGTGGAATATCTTCTTGAATGCATTCTTCTTGTTGAAAAGGTTAACCGGAACTAGTGGACCTTCTGACACATTTGGAAACTTGTGTCTAGCTCATAGCCCAGAGTTTGAGTTGAAGAATGTCGAGGTAATGTTCTTCTTACCACTGACTTTTGTTTTCTTGCTTACAACAAATTATTAAGTGGCTTTCATCCTCTGCTTGCTGCTGCTCAACCCTTTTTATATTCTTTGCATCAGCTTTTGGGAGCTAATCTTTTTCCCCTTCCATCTAATTAACTTGCTATTGTGCCTGGTGTGCCGCTTCACATTGGCAATCTGGAACTTTCCCTAAATATTCTTTGTTATTGACAATGCTACATGAAAGTTATGAAATGAATTAAACCTTTGCTCTACATTTAGTCTCCCCTTTCCTCAGTCACACCCAATCCCATGAAAATGGAGGACAATACACATAAGCAATAAATTGATTAAGTTCCTTTGTTGGTGAATTATATAAAATTAATGAGTCCAATCTATTGTAACTGTTTGCAAATTTTCATATTTTTTATAAGTAGCAATTTTTTTAGAACAACTGGCACTGGAACCAGTTTCTTCGTAAGAAAAAGGTACTGACAAGTTTGGATGCAGAAGTGAGTTTTAATTTTTCCCAAGCTAGATAGATGGGGTAGCCACGAAATATCAACAATTTAGACTTTCATCGCACAAACTCGTTTATTGTTGTAGTTCATTCATTATATGCCATGCATTGATTTTGACATTTTGTCCATTGCTTATTTCTACTACCTTTTGTTCTACATTTCTCTATTTCTTTATAGAGTTATGGCACAATGATTCATGATTTATTCACCATATTTCTATTATGTGCAGTTGTGGGGTTTTTCACACGCTTCTCCTTTTCAAAGCTAAGATGCTTTTGTTTGGATGTCCAAAAGAAGCGTCTTTATCCTCCTGTTTTTCTTCAACTTGGTGGTTGATCAATTTGATGTACCATTACTGTCAGACATGTCCCAAGTTCTTAGTATATTGTATGCTTGAAATTCCATTAAGTAAAAGTTTGGGTTTGTGAAAGCCAGATAGTCCAAACACAAGGTAGTGTAGTAGAATGCGAGGGATGGAATCCACTCACTCAACTACTAAGGAATAAAGAAAGACTAACTAGGCTATTTTACATGCAATATTCGGTTTTCCATGGCCTTAACTAGAAGACCAGAGAAGTTTGTTTTAGCTACAAATGTAACATTGGTTTTACAAATTGATTTGACAAAACTAAACAAATTAGAGGCAAGTCATTTGTTGGATGGTGTAAAGCAGTGGCGCTAAGGTCGCAGTTTATTCAAAATGGATAAGGATATCTATATTCTGACGGTGGCTGGCTGCATCACTTAATTAACAATATTTACAACTATCGAGATTATGATTTAATTGGCTCTGGTTCATGTCTTCTAAGCTTGGAGTGTAATGATATACGTATGTTGATCTGTTTATGAGGTTATCCTTTTCTTTTTACTATTTATGTGCTTGCACTTCTATTGTAAACAAAAACTATTGACGAAGAACTTTTGAGCAAATTAAGATAATTCCCTTTTATTTTTGGGTGCATTCAGTATGCCCTTATTCTGTATCTTGTTATAGAAAATCTTTTATGTAATCATGGTTAAATAATTTCTAAACTCTTCCCATTCAACTGGGTATGCTTATTTAGGTGGTTAAATAGTTACACCCATTTTTTTTAAAATATCAAGGAGTATTTCTAGCCCAACACTGGGACAATAAAAATGATAGTATAACTAAGGTATTATTAAAGTTGCCTTTTGAATATAACTGAATTGTTTATATTTTGATATTTAAAAACTTTTAGAATGAAAGTTTTTGTCATATGATAGTCATAAGGGAGTTGTAAAAGTAATGCAATAATTATTGCACATGAAGTAAAAATATTTAATGTGATCGATGTAGCTGAGTTTAAAGTCGTAGAGAGTGTCTGAAGATGGTTTGTAATTTCATATGCTTGAAACTATAATACAAGAACTGAAAGCTGATGACAATAAAGTGTTCCCCTATTGTTTTTGGTCCAAACTGTTTAGGTTAGAGCAAGAATAAAAGGCTTTAGCCCATATTCAAAGGTCGGACGGACATTGGAATATAAAAGAAAATTTATATTGGAATTTCCTATTGCAAGATTTGTCTGAATGATAATAAATTTTAATTTTAACCATAACTTATATATCTCATTCTATTGTTAAAAGTAAATTAACAAATTAATTTTTGAAATTATTCCTCACCTGCACTTCAATTCTATTGTTTAGGTTATTATTTATTTATTTTATACCATTTAAATATATGAAAGCAACGAGTTATAAGTTTGTTTATTTTGGACCATGGCGAGATTTTGATCTTTTAGTCTCCTAGTGATATATTTTAGTAAAACTCAATAGTTAATTTGAAGTTTTTTTTTTTTAATATTTGTGAACTGCTTAACATAGTTTTTAATAATTTTATGAGTACTACTTAAGAGAGATGGTAATACTTGAATAATAAAATGTCAATTTACTCATTTAAGCACTTTTTTGTTTTCCAGTAAAGCATTGTCTACGTGAACAAAGTTTACTTCAACATGTGTATCTTTCTTTTTGTTCTTTTCTAGCTGCAACTTAGGAGTTATTTGTATTATGCAAGACTAAGACTAAAACCATTCTGCATTTACATTCAGCTTAATACAATCCTCTAGAAGGGTCCAATAGTGATTTTCCTCTGTTTCATTCATTGTTTCACCACATAGGACACAACTCATCTCAACATTTATGCCTCTACATGACAGGTTTGCCTTATAAGAAAGTACATTCTGTACCAAACAATAAGCAAAGTGCCTAACTTTGACTAAAATGGACTTTCCAAATATACTTTCAAGGGAACTCAACAACATAGGAAGAACCTGATAATGAACAAATAATCTTCTCCTTGAAGATATTATAATATGTGAACATCTTAGAGAATTAGTTATCCTTCACCCAGGTTTACATGAGGATATCTTTGTTGCATCGCTATTAAAGCTTTAAGCATCCATAACAGTCATGCAATGACATTGATTTTTATGGTCACTTATATTAACTATAAGGAATAGTTAATTGATTTTACAAAGGGATATAGAATAACAAAAATAAAATAATATTATAAGTGATGTTATTTAATATTTGATTTGGGTTGATCGTTAAAATAATATTATGAAATAAACAAAACAAAAGTATATATTTTTTATTTTCAATTTTTTTGTGAACAATTTGATTAATTTTCACTTTTCAGTTGTTTTAATTTTTATTTTGGATTAATTTATCGATTAATGATCTTTAATTTGTATGTATGTCAAACCCCACACTCAAATATTTTATTATTGATTAAATTTTAAAATCTTTGCATGCATTTATGTTAAATTTGTTAGGAATGATACACACAAAAAAATACACACTCATAACAAAGAACAAAGAATGAAAATTGAGTAGAAAAAGAATTATTCTTACATTTATGTATTACACACGACTACTCATCCCTCGTTATTAACAAAAATTAATACAAGCACGTATTTATAAAATACATTATCAAATAGTACAAATATATAACATTGACAAATCAAGGTATACAGATGACACCTATAAACTTTATGTACAAATTAAACCTTCAGACTCTATATGTATATACTAAATATGCAAACTATACATATAGACAATATATACAAACCATATATTTGAATTACACTACTTGACGCTCTCCTTTAATTCAAATATTCCAAGGACACAATTTCTAGCATCTCTCTTAACTCCTTGAATCTATTTATCTTCAATGGTTTAGTAAAAACATCTACAATAATTAATTATGGACTCTTGATCATTCTTAGACAACAATTTATATTACCTTCGTAGAGATTGAAGTTTCATCTTCTTGACTTTATCAACACTTCCATAAGTTTTATGCAGAGTATCTCAAACTTCTTTTGTTGAACTAGTTGAACAAATTTTCTCAAATTTGCAGAATCCACACATTCATGGATTAAGAAAAGAGTTTTATAGTCTTTCTTCTTCAACTCTTGGTATGTTGCCTATTGCACCTCTATAGCACCTTCTTCCGCATTTTGAAATCTTGTTCTTCTCAATTTCCAACACTTCTTGAAAACAAAAAATGACACTCATTTTCACACACTATTGCTCAAAGTGTTTGCATAAAAAATAGGTAAATTAGTAGGGAAAGCTGCAAGAACCAACCATGATTCACTCCTTCAATGTCACGCAAGAAAGTAGAAGTATCTACACAATAATAAAAACTCACACAAGAAAGAATTTCTCTCATAGTAGAATGCCTTGCAATCTAATGGGTTTCACACACACCAACCCCTAGGTCTCTCACTATCAACAAGCTCTTGATATCAATTTGTTGGGGATGACACAACAAAAACACACTCATAAAAGACAATAGAGAGTGAAAATTGAGTAGAGAAAATTTTTATTCTCACACTTATGTATTATATATGATTATTCATCCCTCATTAATCATTATTAATAAAGAGTAATAGAAACACATATTTATAGAGTACATTAACCGATGATACAAACATATAACACTAACAAATTATGGTATACATATATGATACTTACAAACTATATCACCAAACTATATCATCAAAATATATGTATAGACTAAATATTTAAACTCTATATGTACAAGCTAAATATACAAACTATACATACAAATGAAATATACAAACTATACATTCGAATTAAACTACTCCTCAAAATTTACTTATATTAAATCTAGCAAATTAGTTTTAGTTATTAATTACTCATAATTGCCTCTAGTCATTCTCTACTTGTTTGTAGGATATCTTCAGTTTCTGGTTAATGGCTATCCTCCCATATTTGGTATTTGATTTCTAAGTGGAGAAAAAAAAAACAGAACGTGTGCAAAGAAAATAATACGTACCTAAATATGTCCAAATTAATTTAGTTGACATGCATGGGATGTCTGAAGAAACGAATTAATGTGTTTGTTATATAACAAATCAACAATACACATGAGGGCCATAAGTTCATCGGTGGTACGTATATATTACGTTTTCTAGTTTAAGAATTTTTCCTTTTATATATATATATATATATTAAAGACAGCAGATGAACGCTTTCTTCCTTTTAATTTTCGTAGTATCGGCAAAAGTTACGAGTATTTTTACTGTCGATTAACATTTTAAAACGAAATTAATAAAAACATGTATTTAGAAGATGAAAAGCATAACTCTGAGTGTATAGATTATAAGATTAAAACAAATGAAAATATTTTAACTTAATTAGATGTACATGTTAGAGTTATATTATAATATAAATATTTATATAGAAGAGAGTGATATTTTATCATTTTTATCGAGATATTTGTACACACAACTTTACATTAGTATATATATCGTTCGTTTTGAAATTAAATTCTCAAGATTTTATTTTTAGTTATCGCTCAAAAAACTTCAAATTAATGAAGTATGTGTGCGTTTTGTAAATTGTTATTTCTTTTCTTGTTCTAATTGTGTAATTTTATTTGTATCTCAACAATGACGTCTATATTTTTTTTTAAAACAATGAACTATAAATAAAAGTATAAAAAATAAATATAACAATTAGTTTTACTTGAAAAGGGGTGTCACCACTTTTATAACGAACAAAACTAATTCGTATCTTCGTGAATTATTTTTAAAAATAATAACTAATAAAAAATATATAATAGTGAATAATTATTAAAAATATAGATGATTATAAAATAAAATTTATAAAAAAATATTTTTTTGTAAAATTTAGAAGCAATTATTGAAAAATAGCTATAAAGATAAAATTTTCAAAAAAAATGTGGACATTAAATAAAATATTCCCTTCATTAATAATATAGATTAACATGTATTGTTTTGAGTAAATTATACATGTAATCTCAATAAAAATAAAATCAAAACAATAATTATACTAATTAGTTTGATTTGAAATGCGTTGCTATCAATTTTTTTTCACCGATTGGCGTAAATTATTTATTAATTTTTGTTAATTACTAATTTTTATATATAAAAATTTGATTGACCAATTCTTATAAGGTAGCTTATCTCAACCACTTATTTATTTATTTATTTATTATCTGCATCAAACCCTGTTGAAAATTTTTTAATTCAGTTTTTCTCATCCGGGTGTCATCTATTAACCAAGATATATATTTAAAGGAATGAAAAATAAAAAGTAGTTAAAGACAAATAAGAATAAAATAAATATGTTAAAAAACAACAATATTAATGAAAACATGTTGTTTGGAAAACAAAAGTTTGATGGGAGCAAAGAGAGTTTGAAAAGAAAAGGTGAGTGGAGAGAGAAATGAAATTATATATAGATATATATAAGATGATGAATAATGAATACTTATTTTAAGAAAGGTAGAGTTTGTGAATAGTATAAGGCTTGGTCAACCCAAAATCCACTGAGGAGAGTGGCATGGCATGGCAGTCAAATGAATGGCTGAGCGTATGTGTCGCATTGACGCCAGGCTGACTGCCCTATGGACAACCCCTTAACCCTATATATCAAGTTTTTGACACCCTCATACTCTCCATCATCATAGGCACTCTTAACTCTCTCTCTCTCTCTCTTATGGACTGTCCCTTTGCACACCTACACACGTGTATTCCTCACATTTTAATTATATTACCTAGATACTAGATATATATACCTCTCTTCTTCGCCTCCAAGGGGAAACAAACACCATGTTGCACGATGTTTTTGATCCACCAAAGCCCGAATCGCAGCACCAACTTCCCATTGTAATCACCTCCTTAACATGCATGCACTCCTCACGTACCATGGTGTAACCCTAATCCAATACAATACATATATCCACCAATTCATTTCTTTCCAATGTTTTAGATCAATCTCTTTCTCATGTCTAAGGCTAACATATATATATGTCGTTCTTTTCATGCATGCATCATTGGTTTGGTTATGTTTGTTGCAACTTTGATATATTATTATATATAGATTTATATATATTTAACCTAGCCATTCTTAAATTCTTTTCCAGGCTTTAATTCCCTGCCAATTTGCAACGAAGAACGTCTTCTTTCTTTTCTCTCAAATTGTATATAGTTGAGGAGTATATTATAATACTTATTGTCTGGGAATAAGAAAGAGTGAATTAGAGATTCCGCAATAATTATTAGGCTTTGCTCTTTTTTTCTTTTATTTATTTATTTATATTATCCTTTCCAATCCAAGACAATGCCATGCACCAAAAATGTCATTTTCTGAAGGCATATTGGAAGCTGCAAAGTGATATCAATTTCTGCATGATTTTCAGAGTGATAACCATTTAAACGTAGCTTTCGATTGTTGTGGAATATATCTTTCTGTGCTCGTCAAAGCTTGGTTGATTTTGATATTCTTATTCAGTTAGAGAGGGAGAGGGGACTTAAGGAACAGTTCACATGTATAGCGTTATGGGTTCCTTTAAGTGCCTTTTAATTCCCATTAAATCTTGGTTTCCATACAGTGAAAAAATTAACACAACGTAGCTAGCCATGACATGAGTTTCCTTCTTTGTTACAAACCTTGGGGTTCCTTGACCCCTACATGAAACATTGTCACATGAAGGCATAAATGCTAATCTTTTTCTGCAATCAATATCCCAAAAAAGTTAACCCTCTTGGAGAATTTATTATCTGTACATGACCAAATATAAACACAACTGACTAGATGACAAAACCAACCAAATTTGTATTTCGAGTTCCTCGTTATGGGGTATTGAACATTGATTTATTGCATTTTCTTTTCTAGACAAAGGGCTTGTAGTGAACATAACTGATGCTTATAGGCGTGTTACTCACTCACTTTAGAATGCTCACTATTTGATGAAGACATGCAATAACCAAAGGTTAGGCTGATAATAACAAGAGAATATATCTTTTGAAAGTTTTAGAATGTGATCATTATAGGCCTGATCCCAATTCCCTTTTGTTGATAGAAACTAGTCTGATATGATCACATAGAGCAGAATCAGTCTTCTACGTGCTTTATAAGGGGTCTATCAAAATGATATTATCGATATACGTTCACTAATTTTTATGGTAGTAATGATGCTTACATTGTTTTTATATCACTGGTTGCAGGACGACATTTCAAGCCCTCTTAGTGCTCGAATTTTCGAACTTTGTAACAGTGATTTTTTCCCAGAGGCTTTGCAGAATTCTGAGGTTACTTCCAGCTCAAACTGTTGCTATGAGGAGAACTCCTCATATGCCACAACAAACATATCTTTAACTGTAGATGTAGAAAATAAGTTGAATAGCAATAGCAATACAGTGACCACCCCAACTAGCACTACCACCAACAACAACACAACCAACAGCAGTAATCTTTCTATTATCTTTGATTCCCAAGAAGAAATTGACAATGACATCTCTGCCTCCATAGACTTCTCACTATCTCCATCTTTCAATGTTCCACCATTTCTCCCAGTCACATCCCAGCAAGAACAGTTTGATTTCTCTTCTGTGCAGCCACAGGTCCAACTAGCATCATGTTCAGTTGTGGAGGGCTTCTCTCAGTATCCCACTGACTCTGTTGCACCTCCTTTTATGGGGGCTCCATTGCCATCTGTTTTCGAAGAAGACTGCATATCTTCTGTCCCTTCTTATGTGCCTCTTAACCCTTCATCTCCTTGCACTTATCTCAGTCCTGGCATGCCACCATACATGCCTTCTGGACCCCTTACTACTGCCTTATCAACTGATAGTTCCGGGTTATTTGGTGGGGGCATTCTTCTTGGTTCTGAACTTCAATCACAGGAATTGGAATACCAAGGAGAAAATGGAAGAATGTATTGTGCAGATTCAATTCAGCGGGTGTTCAACCCTCCAGACCTTCAGGTATGGACCATTTTTAAACTCCTTGTTATGTTCTCCGTCATTGCTTTTTTGTTAACAGTGACGGAATATAAACAAATTCTAGCATCATTAGGAAAGGAAGAGAATCATGATTTTATAAACACGAGGTCAATCTTTATAAATATAAGATTTTTTGAGTGGTAATTAAAATAAAATTCAAGAAAATTTGGGTCAAAGTGAACGAGATCATAGCAATGTAAAAACTTGTATACGTCACAACAAAATAACTCCATTGTTCAAGGGTTTTTCTTTCTTATGATGATAACTTTATATGTTGTTGTTGTTGTAAGCTTGCTCTTTCAGGCTTAAGTCTGAATGGTTCTTAACAATAAAGAGGTGAAAAGTGTTAAAAAGATAATGGCCCATAAATTTCTAAGAAGCTGATATGGCACATAGCATATATGCCCATATCCATCAAAACAGTAGCTAGCATATAAACCCCTTTATAATCTCATTCTCACCTGCAAAAAAGTAGCATAAAATCTGAGCTAGCTAGTAGTAAGTAGAGGGAATCACAACTTTCCGCAAAAATTGATAACAAACAGCATCATCATTAGAAAAAGCCCAATTCATGAGTAGTTCTTTTTGTATATCGCTTTCCAGAACCTCTAACTAAAGTTAATGATAGTTTGTGATGACCAACTTTTCCTTTGCTCTGAGCAAGAAAGTAACTTATTTTTTTGTAATTTCTTTCCCAGGCACTTGGTAATGAGAGTCAGCAACTAGTACCCGGGGCTGGTAGTTCTGCCACTTTGACACCAGAAATCTCAAACTTAGAGGACTCCTCCTTCAAGGTTGGAAAACTTTCTGTTGAGCAAAGGAAAGAAAAGATCAATAGATACATGAAGAAAAGAAATGAAAGAAACTTCAGCAAGAAAATCAAGGTACACTCAAGCTCCTTCCCATTTTTAAAACAGCCACATCATCAAACAGAATTGAAATCTTATGTATCATGTTACACATGCATCTGCAAGGCATTTTTTGCTTATAAACCACTTCTTATTGCACACATATTTTCAAGTCCAACTAACGGTGCAACCAAATATGCAGTATGCCTGCCGCAAAACTCTTGCAGATAGCCGACCTCGGGTTAGAGGCAGGTTTGCAAAGAATGATGACTTTGGAGAAACCAATAGAACTACTAGTAGCAATCATGAAGAAGATGATGAGGAAGAAGTAAGATTTAGGCACATTAATTTATCAAACACTCAACAATTGAAAGATTAAGATCTCTATCACTTGTACCTTTTAAATTGTTTGTTGATGTAGTATTTTAATCTCGCAGGTAGTTGTGAAAGATGAAGATGATATGGTTGATTCCTCAGATATCTTTGCTCATATCAGTGGGGTGAACTCCTTCAAATGCAACTATTCCATCCAGTCATGGATTTGAGTTAATAGTTTGATCAGTATACCTACTTTTAGCTTCTGTAGATTTTTCCATGGCCATAATCCACCCCAGATTTCTCCTCTCTGATTTTGATGGATGAGGAAACTGAATAATTGGGGTCCTAATACTATACAATAAATGAAGAACATAATAGAAACTGTATACATTTTTTTGCAGACACTACCTTTTATTATTACTTGAATGTACTAAGAATCACATGTTGTATTAACTCATAAAAGATATCCTTTGTCTCCATGTACCAGTGGAGCTCGTTTATGTACTTTCTTTTATAATATAGTGAGGAACTAGTTTTGGTTACATTCAAGGGCTTAAGCCCAAGCTTTTAAATATTTTAACTGGCTTTTAATCTGTTTTTCTTGCAGCTGATTATTGGTTGCTAAAAAATAGGTATCCTTGTAATCCTTGATTTGATTAACCATCATAAATATGTTAAGTACACAAATAATAAACATCAGATAACGATAAACCAATTCAAGTTGGAATGGTGTATTCTCTAATTTACTATCCACATTTGATTCCTTTTAAGAATAGGTTATAGATTGTTCATTTCTTTAAGCATACTATAGAAGTTCAATTTTCTCATTGTGCATATGGAAAAAATGTTGTTTGAAGATGCAAAGACTACCCATTCATTTAAGAATTAACATTAAAAAACAACGATATGTTTTTATCGGTTTTTTTTGAGAAATAAACAATTATTTCTGAGAAATGGGTTGCTTCCAAACACACATCTAGTCTTTTTTTTTTTTCTTTTTCCCCAAGAGTTGGACTTAGTAATATTAATCTTGGGTGAAATCGGGTATTGAAAGCAAATCATTAACGGCCCAATTATAGATATCCTACGGTGAAGGTTTCTCAGCCCTACAATTATTATTTGACTTAAAAAACCGAGGCCTAACTCTGGAATTCCCATTGTGATACTAACATAAACATAAAATCACTTTCATGCTACTAAACAAAAAAAAAAAAAAACATGCTTCAATCAAGGAGATTTTTTTTTTTTTTTTTTTTTTTTTTAAAGAGAGTTTATATGAGTTGGATCTCGAAGTTCACTAGGTTTCAAAGTTCTATAAATACCTAGAAATTACTCATCAACAAAATTCTCACAATATCAACAGAAATTGAAACTAAATATCCATTTGAAATATGAAACCATGAACCATCCCCTTTTTGTCAATCAAGGAAATGATGAACAATACTTGACGCGTATATAAGCAAACGGGAGACATATCCCAATCACTCATTCATTCTCAATCAGCCTCACGCGAGTGTATGTAAATCATGTCTATCAAATTTACACAAATTAATGTATAATTTAACATTTGACATGAAATATTGCTTCAAATAGCGTACCATCACAAAAACTGTGATTGATTGAGAGTTTCAAAATGAAATTCTAATGAGAAATTGACAATAATGCATTTGAAGGAGGGAAAATAACATGATTATAGGAAATAGTTCATTTAAGTGTCATTGTCTGTGGTTTGAAATTCGCCCACCCCTATACATTTCTACTATTATATTTACTGGACCAGGGACTATGAACATTAGCTCTTGTCATAATACAGACAAAATTAATTTACATGAATTTAATAAAGGAAACCAAGAAGTTAGGTATTTTTTGTTTTCAAATTTCAAAATGGTTGTTGGTGAAACGGCTCCGGACTCTTAAATTTACATTTATTTGTCAAAGCAATAATTGTGGACTTTATAACAGAAAAATTAAAAAAGTTGAACGTTTCATATAATGTTCCATCCAACAACCCTATGCATTTGCCTAAAAAAATTGCCAAATCAAGTATACAATCAAGTTTTTGCTGTAATATTTTATTAGTTTGGCCTTAGTTACAGGTCTTTTATAGAGCGGTCCATGTTAATTTAATTAAATTTCTAATTAAGTCACACATCCTGGTTAACTTAGATGCATCTAACTATATATATAATACAAAAATTATATATATATATATATTGTCGAATTTCCTTTGCAAGGACGAGGAGCATTGAGTTTCATAGTCACTCCTCAAATATGTTGTGTCATTTAATGTTTTGATTTTAATTATAAATAGTATAGCTAGTGATAGAGTGTACCGGAATGTCCAACAAAGGATATTTAGGGTAAGGTGCATATAGGTTAAAAGAAATAGAATTCTAATTCTATGCTTGGAAAGAAGTTAGAAATCCAAAAGAATGAAAATAAGTGAGAGTTTATTTAATAAAAAATAAAATAAAATATATAATTAATTATTTGAGTGAAATTATGTGAAAAATATAAGTAAATTGACATTTTAAAATCATGTTTTATTAAATTAGATTTTTATGTAAAAATAAAAAAACTACAATTTTTCCTTTATATCTATTAACACGTGTTGCTACATTTTTTTTATATCTATAATACATTATAATTATAACATATTGAAATATAGTGAGAAATTCATATTAAATAAAAAAAATTTGACAACTTTCCGATACTTATAATATTAATCATAATGTAATATTAAATATAAATAATTAAGATATTTTTTCAACTGAGACACAATAAATAACAAAAAATGACAAGAGAGAAAGACAAAAGCGATAATATTTTCTTTTGATAAAAAATCCACACTTAATTACCTTCATTTTTCACAATTTCACTCAATTTCACTCACCCAAACCTAAGTTTTTTTTTTTTAATTACCCTTCAATTCATCCTTCTTAAATACACTCTAATTCCCCCTACCAATCAATTGGGTACGAATTTCGTCCAAAGAGATTTTGTATTAATAACATTTGTGAAAAATTACTCTTTCTCTTTCATAATCTTCCCTTCCAAACATGTGGCATAGAAAAAAATATATTATAGTTTTAACTCGACATCATTTTTAAGTATTCATGTGTTAACCACTTAACCGCATGCATCTGCTTCCAGAAAAGAAAAAAAAAATACAATCATGTGCATATATTACGGCTACATGTGGTGAGAGGCCAAATAAAGAAAATAAAAAAATAATACTACCATTAATTTTTTTAGGTTTAATAATGGTGTACTATGAATATAAATTTTTTTACACAATCAGTCAATAACAAAAATATTGTTAATTTTATTTTTAAAATGATTATTATAAATTGATTTATAATTAAAAACCATACTGTTAATCATTTATTTATCTTAATTTTTCCTCTTTCTTTTTCTTCTTTTCCGTTGAACTATTAATTTTTTTTAATATATGCATAACAATTGGGACACAACATTCTAGGACTGTATTTCACACCTTCTATCTTTTTTAAAAATATAATAATCAACATTTAAAAAGTATAAATAGAAACGTAATTATTATTATATTTTATTTTATTTTTATCGTAGCAACAACTAGCTATTACACAATTTCGTATCAGAAAATTAGATAATTTCAAAGTAAAGATATCAAAAATTAAAAATATTGACATTGTAATTAAAATTTATTTGAAAATTGCAATCATGCTGGCTATTGTGATTAATAAGGCAAAGATGCCCGGCAATTTTTTTATTTTTATTTTGGTAAAAACATGCAAAATGAATTTGATTTTTATTTATTCTCTGTTTTTTTTTTGTGATGAATTGAATGTCATTTAGAGGTTATCAAATTTTTTTTTTTAGTTATTTAATAGTGCCTTAAATTTTAGTTTTATGGATAATTAGTTGTGTAGATGAAGAGAAGTTAAGCCATCTACTACCAATGAAAAGAGAAAACTACAGATATCAGAAGGCATGAAAGGATAAGGACGAATATAGAGAATTTTCATCTTAGACTTTGTCCATTAATAACTTCTTAAATGAACTTTTGTATAAAGAGAAAAAGGGATCGACAAATGAAAGAAACAAACGTCTTTGACTAATGTAACAATTTACCAAAAGTGTTTGCCATTCGGATGTCAGTGGTTTCTTTTCTTATCTCTCCAATATTTTTTTATATTATTGTTGAGAAAAAAAATCCTTTGATTATATCAAGTCCAAGGAAACTTTGCATTGTTATTTATTGATATTGATTAAAATACGTCATTTTCATGTTTGTATGTCGTGAGCTTCTATAAAGTTTGAAACTGTTCAATGAAAGTTTGTATTTTAATTACAAGAACTAATCTACAAAATTGGACAATGAATCACTACAATCGGTAAATTAGATTTTAGTTATCTTGGTTAAGGAACACTCATGTGTAACACAAGGCATAAGAGTAATTCCCCTAAAAAATTTAATTATCCAAATCAAAACACATGAGGGTTTAACACATTGATCATACCCTTTTAACCACTCTCTTGACAATATTGCATTGAGGCATTGGTGCTCCAGCCTCAGCACTTGATAGTTGATAGGGTCCACAGGGATTTGAATGTAGTGCAAGCAAGCACTTGTCTACATACAAGTATATTTGATGTCATTGGTGTTGGTGAGTGGATATATAGGATAATAGGAAGTGGCATGAACAAATGAACAATCCCTTTTTATTGGGGCCAAGGCCCACAACACAAAAGAAGAACTATTCAACAAAATTGGAGGAACCTCTCAGGCTTTGATGCCAACCTTTTTACTTACACCAATATGCTCTATTGCTCTTCACATTATGCATCATCTCATAGCTTTGACAATTCACACTATTCTGGTTAACCAACACATAACTATGAAGTTTAGAGGTCTACCAAAAATTTCCCCATTTCACATTATTTGGGAAAAATATATCTGTATTGACTATATTGACTTCGCCTATATTCTAACCTGAAAACTTAAAATCTATCAACCCAATTTAAGGTCCATTTTGTCCAGGTTTAATTACAAATCATTCTTTATTTTTCTAAACTGCTTCCTTAAATTCCATAATCCTCTTAAGTCTCCCTGCCTCGACCATAGAGGAGGAGGTGGACAGTTATATTTGCCTCTATGTTATAAATTAAAATATATAATGTAGAGACTAAGATTTCAATAAAATATTGTAAATATATTTTTAGATATTAATATAGTAATATATTGTAAGTATCTCATAAAATTGGAAAAAAGTAGTATCATAAAAAACTCCATTTTATTCCATGGTAGGTTTTTTTTCCTATTATTATTTTAAGACCAGCAGTATCTAGAACATCGTTGTAAAGTAATTTAAGGTGGTACTGTAGAGAACTTTAATTAAGTAATGCGTTGTCAAGGACTCACCCAACCCAACCCTGACAATTTCAGTTGATGTTCATCCAGGCTCCCTTTATTCAAAGCTGCCCTATACGGACTCTCAAACAACAATATAGACTTCAATTGATTACATTAAATAGCATTTAAATTTTAAGCCATATTGCTTTAATGCAATTTATTACATTGCAAAAATTTTATAACTTTTTTTGTACTTCCTTTATGTTTTCTTATGGTATTTGTTTACCAAGAAAATGTAGAAGCTTACTAATTTTTTTCCCCCTTACAAATTCAGTAACGTCATTGTATCAATAAAAACTCCAATAAAAGTTATTTTAGAAACTTGAATTCCTTTATACGACGTATATAATCTTGCATGAAGTTTTAATCCAGAGAATCAGAAAAACTCAATAAGATAATTAATTTCGTGAAATGTGTCGAGTTGGTTTCTATGCTGGTTTAAGAAAAAAATTAAATACAAATCGGAACAAAAACTTATATATAAAGAGAGTGAGAAACATTGATGCCGTGTTTCATCAAATATTTTTCATATTTATATGTGGTGAGAACAGAGAAGAAAAAGGTTATGATCTTTGGTTGTAGGGCAGAAATTACAAATTCTATAATTTCGGCTTCTAAAAGCGAATTTTAAGGAGGTGATCCATGATTGTCTGAAACCAAGGGAAATAAATAAACTAGGTAGGTACCCAATAAAAAAATTCAGTTGCAACGCCGCCCAAGAAATTAATAAAACCAGAGTGTGTGTGAATAGTGAATAGGAGTACAATAAATGAAAATGGTAGCAATAAATAAACTAACCGCAAAAAGGGAAGGAAGAATGAGAATGTGTCACACTGTCATGTCATGTGTGTAACAGTGCATCTTAGCATCTATGTTCTATCCTATGCTATAATGTTGTAATGCAATTGCAATGAATATGAACCCTTCAATGGTCAATTGTTGGGGTCAATAGGTATATATGTACTTGACCAAATGCCATGTTAGCCCCCAAATTTCTCTCTCCATCACATGCCTAGAAAATAAAAAAATTGGATGAAATGTTGAGTGAGTTGAGGATAAGAAATGGGAAAAAGAAAAACTACGTCTAAATTGAGCACGTAAGATTTGTTATGGAAAACTGAGTCAATTTTGTACTTTAAAATTTATTTCTGTGAATATTAAAATAATATTTGATCTATAAAAGTTACACTTTGTAAATATAAATTAGTTCTTAATAACTAACTTTGAAACACAACATACAATATGATTTTAGAAGGAAAAAAAATGGATTAAAGGAAAAGTGAAAAGGGAAATGGTAATAGCTGAATATATGCAAGTGGCAGCACCTTTGGCTTTAGTGGAGTCACATAGCTATCATGCGCACCAGCTCATGACTCTATGCTATGGTTCGGTTTTCCTGAATTTCTCTATCCATGTTGGAATGGTTTGGGTACACTCTTGGCCCAGAAGATGCAGAAACAAGAAAGTGGACCCCACAGGAGCATCCTGATTTTTTGGTGTGATGTGAAGAAACACAAACTCCTTCTCTCCTCAATGTACTAAATTTTCAACCATCAAACGTGTCCTACCTATGAAACCCCGTGTTCAAGCCTCTACAAAACAGTGTCACCCTTGTTTTCTTTTGGTTTTGGTTTTTTTTTTCCTTCTCTCACTTTCTCTCTCTCTACAATGGTGTCTAGTACAAATACAGTTGCACCCTTTTCTTGAAAGATTATAAAACAGAGTTTTTTGGAACCTAGTATTATCATTACTTGTGGTGGTTGTGTGCTGATCTTCCTTTCCCATGTGCTGACTTGGTTTACTTCGCCTTGCTTTGTTTTTTCTTTCTATTACCTTTTTCTTCTCTCCATTCGGGTCTGTTGGCTCTTCTCTTTGCTTTGGTTTTGGGGTTGAGAAGCTCAGGTTTTGAGGATTGAAGGAGTATTCAGCTACAAGTTCATTTCGTTGAGGTGTTCTTGGCTCTTACCGGATCCAGGTTTATGCGGTAATGAAAAAGTTATTATTATTACTACTTGCTTTTATGTTTGTTTGTTTTTTCTTCCTTTATTGAATTTGTCTATTTGTGACTGGAGAAGTTTCCGAGCTTCTGTTTCTATGGATTTAGTTTCAGTTGATTTCTGTTATGAGACATTAATTGACTCTCTTTTTTTGGATTTAAAATCGTAAGATGAGGAAAGATTAAACCTTGCCCTTTTCTTCATCTTTACTTATTATAAAGGCTTTTTTATTTTATTTTATTTTTTTATATGAAATATATAGATAGTATTTGTTTAACTATAACCGAGTGAACTGCTGATTGAGTTAAATCATGGAATTATTCGTTCTTTGAGTTACATTATGCAAGGAATTTACTGAAATAATTAATATGTAAGCATTTTGTTTTGCAAATTGATATTCTTTGTCATGTACATGTCCATATGCAATCTGTATGTGTATAAATTCTGGTTTTTCTTTTGTATATCTCCGTTTATCTTTTATGTTCAATTAGTGCGTGTCATGATATCTTCCATAATTTTTGGTTTTCATAGGGCTCACATAGGTTGACTCTTCAAGCAAAACTGCTACTTTCAGGTTCAATATTTTTGATATGTTACCTTTTTTTTTCTTCTGTATTTATTCAGGTTATTGACTGTATGATTCTTAGTTTTTAGTCGAAGGAAGATGGTTGTGAGAGAAGGGTCCAACAATTGATCCGGAAGAGTAGAGGTAGAAGATGGAAAATAAAGGCTTATGGATTCAGAAAGAGGGCCATTCAGAAAAAGATTCATTGCATGGCTTCTTGAATGATAGGGAAACATCAGAGGAAGACTCTTCAAAATCACAGTTAAAGAAGTTGATTAAAAGATCAAACTCTCACCAGGCAATAGTTGTAAATGCCATCCAATCACAAATTAGCAAAGTTTTCTTCAAGGATTCATTCTTTCGACGTGTCCATGGACTAGACAATAGGATTCCAAAGCATGTGGTGAGTGTGGACGAGAAATATATCCGTCGCTGCCTGGAATTTGTACATAACACTACATTAAAAGCATCTCAATGCAACATAGCTGAGAGCTTAAGAGCCACAAACATGGGGACTTTATCAGAAAGCTTGAATACAGCTAAACTTTTTGGTGGAAATGCATTTGGTTCAGAACATTTTGTCTTTGACTGTCCTGTGGCCACTGAGACTGGGAGAGTAGTTATAAGTGCTAATGCTGGGGACCAGTGGACTTTAGGCACAATAATGGGTAGCAAGAGTATGATAAACATATTGAATAGTACTCTTCTTCAGCAGTTTGATTCTTCGCAAAGAAGTGACAATTTGAACAGGATGAACTTTTCTGATCCTGAAGGATTGATATGCTATGATTTTGTGGACTCTCCTAGTGATTTATGTATCTCTTCGTCGTATAAACTAGGAAAAGGGAAACAGCTAGTGGGAAATCACAAGTACGGCTCCATTTCTGTTCATAGAAGGCTTGTTTCCACTTCTAGCACCACCTCTACTTGTTCTGATTGGTTGTCTTCGGCTTCTTCTACTACTTTATCTCAGGGAATGATCCAATGTACATGGAGACAAGGGATTCCTCATTTTGTTTTTTCTGCAGATGATCAGAAGGAGGTCTATGTAGCAAAATTGAGGAAGGTGGACTCAACAGATAACAAGGCTTTGGACTATGTGTACGAGTTTTACTTGAACAAGGGTGGCCAAAAGGGTCGCGAGATTCCTGATAGTGATTTGCCGTTTGTTGGGAAGATGAATGTATTGACGAGTTTCACCCTTTGCCCAAACAATTGTAGAATAATGGAGACAGAGTTTACATTGTTCCATAACATTGAAATTTATGACCAAGGAATGTCCAAATCAGAGCATTCTCACAGGAAGAACAAGGGACTGTCAAAGAAGGTGTCACAAGTTTTTAGAACTAGCCCTTCATCAAAACGGAGAACACATTCAAAGTTTGGTGGGTCAAGTTCCATAGCGGAGAGTTGTCCGTGGGAGCCACATGCTATCGGTGGAACCAATTTATTAGAGACTGATGTTCCTCCAAATTTTGAGATGGCTGCCATTGTGGTGAAAAAACATCTTCCATGCAAAAGACCAGAGAAAGTAGGAGGTTGGGGTTTAAAATTTCTCAACAAATCTGGTGGAAATCAAATCACATTGCCATCTGAAAGTTGTAAGCAAAATAATGGGGACTGCTCAACTAGCATGAGCATTCTAATTCCTGCAGGCTTTCATGGTGGTCCAAGAACCAGAAATAGTGGGCCGTCCAGTCTGATAGATAGATGGAGATCTAATGGCCAATGTGACTGTGGTGGTTGGGATGAGGGGTGCCCTTTGACAGTTCTTGAGAGAAGATCCAACAAAGCAGAGGTTATGTCTCAAACAGATACACGAGGCGAGTGCAAATCAGTTGACTTAGTCACTCAGGTCTGTTTATATTACGTATTCTATTGCTCTTCTTTCTCTATTCTCTTCAAACAATGTTAGTGATCTCATATTATCATAGGATGGGGGCAACAATATGGGAGCTGTAAATAAGACAAAACTTGGATACATTATCATAGCTACTATTAGTGCTGTTTTCTAATTAGAATTAGAGTTTTACCTTGATAATACATGTTTACATTTAATGGAACCTTGTATTTAGCATGTAATCGAGGTGAAACTCTAATTCTAATTGAATAGTATCATCAGCACCTATGGTATTGCATATGTTCATTTCCCTTGTCGTGCATGTTTCTCCTTAAATTATCAATTTTGTTTCCCTCTTTGGGTATCTTCACATTTGATCTCTTGCTATATTTATATGTTAAACATCCAACCAACACCACCAAGCCTTATCTCACCATGTAGGGTTGACTGAATGGATATTGTACACACCATTTGGCCTATAAAAAACCAAATTTTCAATTAAAAGATTTAGTGTATAGCCTCTTTTATAGTTTCTCCTATACTTTTCCTCCACCATTTAGTGATAGGGAAACGACTTAAGTGATATATTTGTGGCCACCTAGGCCCAGACATAATAATTCCATAATCTTTTTGACTCTAAAATATATTCAACAGCAATCTTTCTTCAAAGTTTAAGCCAATTTTGTTGTTATATTTTAGACATCCGTTCCTCTGTAATCATGTATTTACTTTCTGTTCTTCTTGAACAATTACAATTGTTTAAATATGCAATGAGATGATCATACCCCTCAAATTTCAGGGTTCAAGAGATTTTGGTACCTCCTTTAGGATGGTAAATGTTCACGATGGTCTACATTATATTCATTTTCATCCACCTCTGTCTGCACTACAGTCTTTCTCCATTGCTGTGGCAATAATTCATGCTCAAAGTCCTACTCTTCAGCCCAATGGTGCACAGGAGCTGTCATGACTGAAGTGAAATCTGAGGTTATTTAGCAGTCATAATTCTCTTACTGTATTATAAAAGCAAATGAGAAGATTTAGGATTTTATACACGAATCGAGTTTTCATAATGTTTAGGGTTGTTATTTTAATACAGTCAGATGTAACCTTATTTAGGAGAATTAGTTGTTTGTTCTTCCTCACAATTCATAGTTTGTAACCATCTTTTCCTCATTCTTTTTGTTGAAGGGGATAGAATGTAAAAGGGTTGTTGAACAAAATTTGGTAAATTGTAGCATTGAGATTGGGTTTGTTATAGTTGTTAATGAGAAGGAAATGAGATTAGCACAAAATTTGAAAATTGCTGTTCAACAATGAATCATTACATTTGACAGTTTGGTATGAAGCATATCAGAGATTTTGCTTCTTTGAATATCTCTTGGTGAATGAAATATGGTAGTTCCCACCTTTATGATTGGAAACCGAGTACTGTTTTACCTAGATGCTGCATTATCCAATTGCTACTCCTATAATAACAGCACATGCTTCATGTAGCATCTGTTAGATGTCTTGAGTGTTATCGCTCAATGTCTACTTGTACTGAAAGATTTGCGTGTACTAATGTATTCAAATTAAATTTGTTGTTTGGACTTAAAAATTCATCTCTCTAATTAAATGTTCATTAGAACGTTAAATGAATGACTTATTGGCCCTTGCACATTATATCTGTCTTACAGTTCTTTATTAGAAGCTTATCTTTTGATAGGACCAAGCTCCGAGAGTTCGCTTCCCATCTCAGTAAGGTAAATGCTTGACATCTATAGAATGTGATTGACTTTACTACGGTTATCTATTTTCTACTCGTAGGGGGTGACAGAACAGAAAGCAAGTACAAATTATCCGGCTGAGTCACAATGTCAGTTAAAAAAGAAAAGGCTAAAAAAGATATGACTGTTGATCAGAGACTAATTTGTCAAGTATGGAGTTAAAAAAAAAATCATTTTAGCATAAATTAGAAAGTCTCCTAATAGCAAATGTCTTGATGTCGATTGCATGTGCGCCAGTGATTTACTTGGACTGCACACTGCAGTGATCATATTGCAACCAAAGGTTAGCTTGAAAAGTTGATCTTATTTTGGTGTGGCTGTAGCTTTTTTGTGTGTGTCATGTTTCCACCTTGTTGACAGCTATCTTTATGATCTAAAATTTTTATTATTACTTTCTAGTCTACTCTTCTGACATCACAAGTAGACAATTAATAAATATTTAATATTTGGGGAGCTTTTGGAACGACTTTCATAGAGATTATTTGGGTTTATGAAAATAAATTATAACTCAATTAGATTTCTTGGCTTATTTGAATTATTTTTATTGTCAAATTTATGCCACGAGTTTATTGAAAAAATGCTTATCGAGCTAAATATTCAAACACATCCTTATTCCTTAACATGATAAGTGTAATTTCTTAGCTATTTCTAATGATTAGATATATGTTGGTCAAACATTGTGGCTTCACACTAACAATCACTTTCAGTTTTATTTTTATTATAATTCGGTGAATACCCATAGCCTCCTTTGTAGTCGGGCTATTATTTTTATCTCCATTCCATGGTGGGTACACATGGCCTCCTTTGTTGGTGAGAACTTTTTTTTTTTTGTACCATTTTAAATACAACATAAGGCATAAGAGTATTACTGTTAAATCATTTTATTCAAAATTTTAACGTCATTGATTATAAATACAGGGTTATATGGAGTTATGTACATTATTAAAAATGTAAAATAGATGCTATTTTACATCTAAAGTGATTATCCAATATAAAATAGATATCTATAAAATTGGGGAGGGGGAATTTGGACGAGAATGGAAATGGGTTAAAATATTTTTGAGTATAATATTTAAAATATATTTATTTATGTTTTAAAATTTAAAATTATAATAAAAGATATAATGGAAGAGTAGGTATGATTAAAAGATATAAGGAAATAAGGAATATGAATTGCAATAAAATATCATAAGAAAGTAAGAAACTCTACTATCATAATATCGTTGTAGTTGTTGTTTTGGACCAACGTACGAGGCCCATAATTCTCAAAATAAACAAGCGGCCCAATCAATGGGCATACATGATACAAGGTTTAGTAAAGCATAAAAGACTAACCGCAACACAAAGTACAAATACATTCTAATTTCCATTTCTATTCATCTCTCACATCTTAGGGTGTGTTTGTAAAACAGTTGGACCTAACACAAACGGATTTTCATCCAACGAAAGGGTAATCTTTCTATCTAGATAAGAGTGGTTCTTTCATCTTTCAACCACAATCTAAATACATACTCGCTGTATGTTTAGATACCAATTTAGAATCACATTTAACCAAAAAAATGTGCATTTCAATGTAAAAATGGAAAAACTGATTAGTGTAATTTAATGTAAGTTTAAATACTAGTTTAAAATCACATTCAACAGAAGAAAAAAAATGCATTTTGATGCAAAAAAAAAAAAAAAAAAAGAGGGAAAACTTGTAAAGTGTAATTTTTTCTCCAACTTCTAATGAATTCTATTCAATTGTGTTTTTCAAACACAGCCTTAGTTATTGACTTGAGCATTAATCTTTGGCCATAACCAAACATAAGAAGCTTCTCAAAGACCTCCTCCAAGATTCTATCTCCTCCAATTCTCACATCAGCATAATTGAATTTATATTCTTTTGGAATATGACTTTGTTTCTTACCAACTGAATTAACTTTTATTGGCGCAAATCACTAAAGTTTAGTTCATCTCTAATCTGCTTCCCATGTATTTTATTGAAAAAATAAACTGACTTAGACGTATGAATCTGATATATCAAATATCAAATTCATGATTCAAACAGATCAATTCGTTTGTGAGACGAGAATGCAAGCATGTTGTTTTTGTCGTCGCATATGCAAGTTGTGCCAGAACAATGAGCTGAATACTTTGGAAAATATTTGATCATTGAACTTTTGCCATAACATTTATATTTTCCTATGTATTTAATTATTGAAATTGACTATTTTCTTTTATCATTATCTTCCTCTCTCTCTCTCGACCTTTCTCTTTAGTTATCAAATATCTAAGAAATTATCCTCATTCACGGAAACCCAAAATTTGCCCGACAAAGCACGATGAAAATTTTCTTCTGCTGCATACTTCTCCAGAAATGGAGCTTGCGACGATCAGCTTTCTATGTTAGGTGTAAAACTTTAGAATTAACGAAGTTGGAGAGATGGTTCATTACAATTTTCATTTTTCATTTTATTCCTAAAAAAGATGTGTTGTAACTGTTGTGTCATGTCTGTTGTGTAATTTTCATTATCTATTGATGAAATCATGAAACAAAATAATTATTGCAAGAATGTATATAGTTCACTAATTTTATTTGTCTTTTTCTAACAGGACTTTATCGTGCTAATTACTAACATGAGAAGTGTCCTCTCAAGAAAATAACTAGTTTGAGAATATTATGTTAAGAGAGAGAGAGAGAAACCAATAATGGGATTGTTGGCTGCATAGAGGATATATGCATTTGAGATGAACACTAGGACTTAGCATTTTCTGCGTAAGTTTATATTGATAATCCGCAGCATAAATCTTATCGAAATAAATTTTAAAAAAATTATAAGAAAGTCATAAGCTACTTTCACTGGGGGCGACAAGAATTACATATGACAAGTTACAAATAAACTCTATACAAGCCCTTTTACACATTTCCTTAGCAGTCCCTTATCTGGTTGTAGAACGAACTACCCACTTCATTGGGTATCAGTTGTGAAGAACCTAAACTGATCTCATGAATTCAAGTGATAACTATTTTGCCCCAACCATATAATGTTTACCACACTATATCGAGATTTGATTTCTAAAACCTCCCACAAGGATAGATATGTATGTTCATAAAATTTAACTGTAGGGGAAACACCTTAATTATAATAGCCCTAAATAGAAGAAAAAAAGACAATTGAAAATGTTGTGCATTCTACTGTTGGCCAATTAACGGGGGGAATAATTATTGCAAAATTGAAAACAACAAAGATCATCTCTCTATTTTCAGCTTTAAATAAATTGTTAACAAGTATAATAATACATCTGAATGTCTAAATGGGTTTAGGGGACAGAGTGCACGCATCTAAACCACGAAGAGAGATTGCCATGTAACACTACTGATTTTGATAAATAAAGAAAAACTTAATAGGGGGAAAGTTACTTTACCCTTTTCATATCCCACCATCCTCCATAAACCTTCCAAATTCAACAGGTTGCAAATGCAAAATTAAGGCTCGAAAAGAAAGCAGCATTAAGATCTCAAGTCAATGAACACAAAATGAACCCCATTTGCATTTTCATAGAAACTCTTTTTTTTTTCTTCAATAATTCAGAATTCCAGAGTCAAAATGATGGGACAAAGCATTCAATCTAACGACAATAATACTAAAACCCAGTATACACTCAGACACACATTTCAGTGCTAGGAGGACTGAGAAGAGAGTTTGAGACATTCACTCTGGCACCTTCTCAGGCAAATATCATTCCAATTAGGGACCTGATGTTGGTTGACACAAACAGTGCGGGCACAGGCATCAGCACAAGCATCAAGGTCAGAAACGCCACACACAGTGACGCAGGTATCAGGAATTGGGTCTTTGGAGAAAGATCCAACCTTTTTGAGCATTCTCTTAGAGGTGCATACCCTCTCACACACGAAGATTTCATCGGAACTCCTTTCCCTTCCCCTGGCACTCTTGAGCCTCTGCTCCTCTGCGCGCCGTTTCTTCACTCGAAACGCTTGCCCTGCAACCACCACAGGGATCGCTGCCCCCAAAAGGGACCACCAAATATCACCCATTTCAAGCACTCAACAAATGAACAAATTCGCCTCCTTCTCTTCTAATTCATACGCTGCACACTGGGTTACGAAACTTCAATTTCAATCGATAATTGTTAATTACGCGTGATATGCAAACCCTAGACACAGGCACGTGCGATATGATAATATATTGAAATGCGGGAGAGGAATAATGAGAAATTGAATTCCAATTAAAGAAGGAAAAAGTGAATTGGAATGCGAGTGATTGTGTTTCGTAAGAGAATGAGAGAGCGAAAGAAGAATTCCATTTACCGGCGGCGGAGAAGAGTGGAAGAGACAGCGTCAAAGTGCTTCTACGGCCTTAAACCCTCACTCCAACACAACAATGACTCCAATGAATATTTAGCTTTGGTTGTTGGTGCCGTTGTTGTTGTTATTATTATTTTTTATTTATTTAAAAAATAATAATTTCTTCTTATTAGGTCAATGTGGGAGTTTTTATATAAGTAAAAAATTTAGATTAAAATAAATCATGAATGTACTAGTTATGCCACCTTCACTCACGGTGATCAATTCGAGAGTAAAGAGGTATAATTTTTATTTTTTTGAGTCTTCTTATTCACCTAACATATGTATTTAATAGGTGTATAAATATGATTCATTATATTTTATAAGTATTTAAGCAAAATTAAATATAATAAGGATCGGATTTAGTTTAAAAAGTATTTGGGAGCATGCCTTACAAGATTTTTTTTTTCTTATATGATATAAGTGTATAGTTATGAATTACTCCCATAATTTAAAAATAAAAAAATATTATATTATGAAAATTATCTTTAATAATTATATATATATATATATATATATATATATACATATAGA